CAAGCCTGTAGCTGTAATTGATACTGGTCCCAAATACGATTAAAACAATATTTGATGTAACATGCCTTTGGAAATAAACTAACCTACGTACAACCCGCTTGAAAACTTTAAGAATTTGTACGAACTATAACTATATCGGTAACGCGGGTTTTGTCTAACATTGGGTCAATAATGCATTACTGAATTGTTGTTTTCTTTGACATTGGAGAGAAAGAGAGAGCATGGGGTTTAACGTCCACTAGACACAAACCAGGTCATTTCGAGATTAACATATGGTTTAATTTTATTTCAATATTTCGCTTGGCGTAGAGGATTTTAGCAGTGGAAGGGAACCGGGGGACCCGGAGGGAACCCACGAGGTTGGGCAGGGCTGCGACCCTACTCCTTGTCACGTACAACAGGGGAATCGAGTTCACGCCAGTTGACTCAATGACAGACCTTATGATCCAACGCGTACGCCATGTCATTTCCATCCACGTTGTCTAATTCGAATAATAATAATAATATGTCCATTTATAAATAGAGAATCCCCAACAGTCTTTTTTATATCAAAAAATATCAACACAGGCCGATAAAGTAAAAAAGGAACGAGACTTTGCCGAGGTTTTTTTTATTATTATTATTTTATCGACGAGTGTTGATATATTTTGATATCAAAAAAGACGAGTAGGAGATTTTATTTATCACCCAATCCTTTCTTACATGCACAAATAAATAAATATAATTCTTTGGTATAGATTTAACTGTACTGACCCTGATTATATTATAATGGTGATAATATTGTGAATTGTTGGTATTTCCTTCTTTCAATATATCATTCATTCATTGTTCATTCTTTCATTTAAACATTTCTATTTTTCTTATGTTTCTATTAATCCTGCGTTGTTAATTAGACGTTAAGCTACTTATCTAATGACTGATCGTTGACAGCTGACACATTAATGAGTTTAATTACTACCTTATTGTTTTATTTTATTGCAATCTCTTTTATATTTTAATCTTACCTCTTTAATTGTTATTAGTATAGTTGGTGTATATTGTTAATTCCTTAGATACTATTTTATTATAAATACCGATTTGTACATTTATATAGGACTCTAGGTTTCATCCCGTTTCCAGGAGAGTTACTCTGCTTGTCGGACGTGCTGTTCTCCGTATATGGTGTTAAATGTTTTCCGGTAATAAATAGTCTCAAGGATAGTTCCAGTCTTTAGTTATTATCGAAGATTTATTACGGCATAGTGACGCATCATTTTTTGACAGCAAGTCACCCGATGCAAAGTCCTATATATTGACCCGGTGTTTCCTTTAAGGTTAGGGGAGTTGGGTGGCTGAATGGTTAGCGTGCGCGCGCTGTATCATTTGAGATAAGTCATCTTTCTTTCCAAGATTTTATTAAATTTTGAGATAGTCATCTTTTTTTCCAAGATATCAGTTTTGTCTAATTGCCTTTTATTTCAGTCCGGGGAAATTCTAGATGATCATACGTTTACCATACAAACAAGTGGAGTACCAATACCATATGGTGAGGCCGAAGGTTGTTCTAATATAGTATACTACCTATCATGTCCTAAACGTGGTTATGCTTTGGTTGATGTTCGTGACACTGGTTTCAAGTTGAGTTCATCTGTTAGTAAGTAACCATATAATGGGGGAATGCCAGATAAATTGTAATTAATGACTCTAGGAACTTTGTCGGTCTACACTAGTATCGAAGCGCGTCCCCCTAGAACATTAGGTCTCCCCCCACCCGCCCCCTTGTTGCATATCCACCAGAATCCTTATGTATAGTAGTGACCAGCATCGCACTGGATTAACCAATAAGCAATTTGTTGAAGCACTAATGTGGGGTCAGAGCTGTTTTTAAAATTAGATGCCAGATATACCAGAAGACAGATAGCAGACTACGGCTAAACCAGGCTCAACAAAAAAAGGGGCCGTTATAACCTTGAACACCGTTTTGTTCTTTTGACATTTTTTTTTCTTATGGTTTGTTCAGTACCATTCAGGATCAATGGTATTAGATTTTAATTCTGTTATTTGTTAGGCTAAATCATGTTTAATTTAATATATACTATTCAAAAAAAGTAGGGGATATTTGATTTTGGGGGCATAATACTAAAATATGCAAATGACTACGAAAAAAGTCACTATAGAACCTAACAGAAGAAACATTCCCAGTTACATGTGACGCCCAAACGCACCAATAGCTACCGCATGGAATGCAGGTGATGCTTGGGATCATCATGGGGGTCCAACCCAAGATTTGCACGACTCTGACTTTGAATGTTACAGTCATTGTGGCATTGAATTCCAGGGTGGAAACATCAGTTTAATTGTTTTAGTGACCAGAAAACAAATTTTGATATGCGTCGGCTTACCCAAAATGAAAGGTTACGTGCCCTTGGCATGCTACAGATCGGCACAACACAGGCGGTTGTGGCGCGGACGATGAATGTTTCTCAGTCTGTCATAAGCAGGCTATGGTCCAGATACCGTGATACACAATCTGTACAGGACAGACCACGCTCAGGTCGACCAAGGGCGACAACTCAAGCCCAGGATCGATTTATCCGTACCTTGGCCTTGAGAAATCGTGTCATCACAGCAAATCAGATCAGCGCTCGTCTTCAAACAGACACTGGTGTGAGAGTGAGTGGCCAGACGATTCGGAATCGACTGCATAGGGGTCACCTTCGCGCCCGACGTCCTCGCGTGATCCCTTGTTTGAGAGATCATCACATTCAGGCAAGACATCGTTGGTGTAGGGATCGTCAACACTGGGATAATCGACGCTGGAGCAATGTGATGTTTTCAGATGAGTCAAGGTTCACTGTTGATTTTTTGGACAGACGTAGGAGAGTGTGGCGTCGTCGAAACGAGCGCTTCCAAGACGTTAACGTCGTTAGACATGATCGATTTGGGGTGGTTCTGTTATGGTGTGGGGAGGCATCACTGTTGCTGGAAGAACGGCTTTACATGTTGTTGCAGGGCGTGTTACAGGCCAGTACTTCCGGGACAACATCTTGGCAGTCCATGTTGTGCCGTTCGCACGACGTCATGGCCGCCGTTTCATCTTCCAGGATGACAACGCAAGATGTCACAGGGCCAGGATCGTTACAGGTTACCTCCAACAACAGAACATCACCACATTACCTTGGCCAGCACTGAGTCCCGACCTCTCCCCCATCGAGCATGTCTGGGACATGCTTGGACAGAGGTTACGTCAACGTCAACAACGTCCTGCCAATGTCCATGAACTTGCTGCTGCGTTGCAACAGAAATGGAACAATCTGGACCAAAATGACCTTAGACGTCTCATTAGGAGTATGCCACGTCGGATCAATGCTTGTTTGGCAAACAGAGGAGGATTTACCCGTTACTGACTTGGTTGTGATGCTGTGGTAACTTTGCTGTTTGACCCCGGGTATCATTTTACCCTTATAATGGTCAGTCTGTGCCTTACTTAGTCTAACGATCATTTGGAATAAATCGATGAATGTGAACTTCATTTCATTTTGTCATTTGTTTCTTCCTCAGTTTCATTAGGTGACTTTAATAACACTTAAAAATCAAATATCCCCTACTTATTAAAGTCACCTAATGAAACTGACGACCATAGCCTACTTATGACAGACTGAGAAATATTCATCGTCCGCGCCACAACCGCCTGTGTTGTGCCGATCTGTAGCATGCCAAGGGCACGTAACCTTTCATTTTGGGTAAGCCGACGCATATCAAAATTTGTTTTCTGGTCACTAAAACAATTAAACTGATGTTTCCACCCTGGAATTCAATGCCACAATGACTGTAACATTCAAAGTCAGAGTCGTGCAAATATTGGGTTGGACCCCCATGATGATCCCAAGCATCACCTGCATTCCATGCGGTAGCTATAGGTGCGTTTGGGCGTCACATGTAACTGGAAATGTTTCTTCTGTTAGGTTCTATAGTGACTTTTTTCGTAGTCATTTGCATATTTTAGTATTATGCCCCCCAAATCAAATATCCCCTACTTTTTTTGAATAGTATTAATTTTTTATAAAAACATCGTCTCAAATGAAAAGTCCAGGGGAAGAACGATCTAAGTCACATTTTTGTCTTTTCCAATTAAAGGCGAAACAGACTTTTGGACGAGAATGATTGACGCGAACAGAACAACGAGTGGGTTTAATTACAACTGCAAAATGATGTTTAATACGAATCATAATTACCAGTATAACAACTGACTTCCACTTTTCAGCCAAATTAAGGTCAAATAAAGGGTACGATGGACGTATTTGTCCGGGGGTGGCTGTTTCAGAAGAGCCTTGGTTCGAGTGACTCCAATCGTTTTTATCTGAAATTGATTGTTCCACACAATTGTCTACCGGATGGCGTCATTAACTAGGGTTCGTTGAAAAAGTGACTTAGATCGTTCTTCCCCGGGGCTCTTCAAAATGTTATATAACGAATACATATATTCATCAAACATGTTTTTAAGTGTAATTGTTAATATTAAACTAACATATTTCATTTTATTACAAATATATTAAATTAAACATGATTTAGCCTAACAAATAACAGAATTAAAATCTAATACCATTGATCCTGAATGGTACTGAACAAACCATAAGAAACAAAAATGTCAAAAGAACAAAACGGTGTTCAAGGTTATAACGGCCCCTTTTTTTGTTGAGCCTGGTTTAGCCGTAGTCTGCTATCTGTCTTCTGGTATATCTGGCATCTAATTTTAAAAACAGCTCTGACCCCACATTAGTGCTTCAACAAATTGCTTATTGGTTAATCCAGTGCGATGCTGGTCACTACTATACATAAGGATTCTGGTGGATATGCAACACGGGGGCGGGTGGGGGGAGACCTAATGTTCTAGGGGGACGCGCTTCGATACTAGTGTAGACCGACAAAGTTCCTAGAGTCATTAATTACAATTATCTGGCATTACCCCATTATATGGTTACTTACTAACCGATGAACTCAACTTGAAACCAGTGTCACGAACATCAACCAAAGCATAACCACGTTTAGGACATGATAGGTAGTATACTATATTAGAACAACCTTCGGCCTCACCATATGGTATTGGTACTCCACTTGTTTGTATGGTAAACGTATGATCATCTAGAACTTCCCCGGACTGAAATAAAAGGCAATTAGACAAAACTGATATCTTGGAAAAAAAGATGACTATCTCAAAATTTAATAAAATCTTGGAAAGAAAGATGACTATCTCAAAATTTAATGAAAATGTTTATCAAAATAATAATTCCTAATGTAGAGACCACGTGTGCAGTGTTGTGCTGGTGAATATATCTATTTAGCTTGACGAAGAAAGCACTGAAGTAATAAATGTCTGGTTTCCTATAGCCAACCACTCAACTGAATGATAACCTGGCCGTATCGCTATAGACAACTACACACATGGATCATCGAGACTAGCACACCGAAAACCACACAACTGGGTGATTGAGACCGGTCTGTATCTCTATAGTTGGCCTCGATCGTTAGAAGTGGCACACAACATGAGACCGAGAGAAACTCACAAGTCTTCTCACTGTTATGGCGTAATGGTTGTGGAAGGAACAATGGTCACATTGATGATAGATGACGGATTTACCGTCAAATACTGTACCCCCCACCCACCCCCACACCCCCCCCCCACACACCCCCACACACACCCCCACACACACTCCCACACACACTCCCACACACACTCCCACACACACACTCCCACACACACACATAACCTCCATATCTTATAAATAAAATCGCTGATTGTCATTTGTGTCTCACATTAAAGATACATATTCTCGATTATTAAGTAACATTCATAATGGCTATGGTACCCTCGCTTGACAGGCGTTTCATAACCAGTCTCCGGTAGTGACGTCAGTGCTTAACCGTAAACGTTAGCCTGGTCCGCTATTTTGAACTTGTCATGTAAAAAAAGGTGTAACTAATAATTTCTATAACATCTGAAGACTACATAAAGACTTGCAAAAGTCGGATTTAGCTCTTGCATAATGTATGTTTAAATCTGGAAATTACATTATATCAGTCCACTAATGGTTTCGTTCCGTTCCTTTACGTTCAGTATTCACAATGTCATAATGAACTGAGGATTTCGCTACATTCGGCATAATTTGTAGATATAAATAAACCAGCATCACGTATAAAGCGTTGATTAAATCTTTCGATGGGCTTCTTTTTAGTTTGAATGAATTGAAGCCGGGAGATTGTTTGTCGATGTTATTTTGTTTTTCTATAGTAACGGCTAAATCATAAACCCGAATACTGAGAAATTAGAAATTGTTTAAAAGGTGTCGTTGTCAATGTGGGTTAACGTCTACTCGACACAAATAAGGTTATTTCGGGACTAACACATGATTCAATTTTATTTCAATAATTCACTTGCGCGTAGAGGTATTTAGCTGGGCGGGGGGGGGGGGGGTGCGCGCTGAATCATAAGATCTGTCCTGTCCTTGACTCAACTGGCGTGGTTTCGATTCCCCGGTGGTTGTACGTGACAAGGAGTAGGGTTGCCTGTCCAAACTTGTGGGTTTTCTCCGGGTCCTCTGGTTTTTCTCCCACTGCTAAAGACCCCTACGCGCAGGCGAATTATTGAAATAAAATAGAACCAAATGTTAGTCCCGAAATGACCTATTTTATGTCGAGTGGACGTCATTAAAATCCCCCCCCCCCCCTCTGGGAATCGAGCCACCCCAGCTGATCTAAAGCGTACACGTTAGACCATTCGCCTACCCAACCCGCATCATTTAGTTAAATAGCAGGAGCTGTAAGGCCGCACTACACGCAAAACAAAACAGATAAGACAAACCTGCGGACAAGACAAACTATAGAGACACTGCAAGAAATAATATATATATATATCAAATCAAGTGAATGGATCCGGAAGCCAGCGTCTACTGAGCTGTACAGTCCCGGAACTGTGATGATACAAGCTTCAGTCATAATGGAAAAAAAAAACATAACTACAAGAAAGACATACGAGAAATCATGCGACCGATCTTGAAGAAATATACCATGACTACATACGGTAATATCCAGTCGGATTTTGTTCCACTCAGTCTCTCCTTGGTCATTATATACAAGCGTTTCATCGATACTGCAATTCGTCGACGGTCCAGAATAACCACCAGTAAGTGTTACAGCTTGGTTAAGGTGGTGAAGAGTCACGTATTCTGTCGGTTGTAACGATGACAATTCATAGCAATATATCTTCACTCTGGTATGATTATATATAACAGGATATAACCAATATTCACCATCAACATAAGATGGGTTACATCTCTTTATATCTTCACATGATGATATATCTATAATATAAAACATTACATATCTTCACATGATGATATAACTATAATATAAAGTATTATATATATATCTTGACATGATGATATAACTATAACATAAAACATTATATATCTCACATGGTGATATAACTATAACATAAAACATTATATATCTCACATGGTGATATAACTATAACATAAAACATTATATATCTCCCATGGTGATATAACTATAATATAAAACATTATATATCCTGACATGGTGACATATTTGTTGCGAACGATGTATGAGTAATCCCGAAATGGATTCTCAGGCTGGGCCAATAAATAGCAGACTCATTGCTTCGAGTTACGATGGGTGAAAAAAAGAACAAAAACGATGTTGATGGTACGAACTCTCTAGTGCATTTCACATGCTTTATTTTGGACTACATTTATATTATATTGCATGCTTGTATTACTAGGCCAATAGACGTAATTAACCAGTCACTCTCCAAATCTGAAGGGAGTTTATTTCTAACACATCCCCCCTCCAGGATGTAACATACAATGGCACATCCTAAAACACAGATTCCGAAACACATTACAGATTCACGAAATACGATAGAATTGAACATTCCAGAACGACGATAGAACTATATAACTTTAAATAGCGAACTATATAATATACACATCACTATTTCGATGTACACTTTGCGATGAATTCAACGATGAAACACTTTCGATGAACTTTACGATGACTCCAACGATGAAACACTTTGAAACCGCTGCATTTCCACATGGATAATAAGCACACCATATAACGATAGACACGAACAACGGATTTCGAACGATGACGATGTATAACTAAGCACATTATTGATAGCCACTTCTTCACACTACACCTAGGTATCTAAGCTTCCAACGGACACAGACGATGTATCGGCCTTTTAAGTATATTATCGCCGACTTTGACGTCAACTACTCTAACACGATTGTCAATTCCAGGATACGACTTTACTATACGACCTAAGGGCCATTTTCCCCTTGGGGAAAGTGGGTCTACAACTAGTACTAAGTCACCCTCCAATAAGTCCTTATAGGGGGTTTGCCATTTCGAACGATTATTTAATGTGGGTAAGAACTCTCGTAGCCAGCGTTTCCAAAAAGAGCTAATCAAATTTTGAACCATGCGCCAACGATTACGTGGATTAAAACGAACGCCATCGATTAATTTGGACGACACTAATTGGTCACCTGTCCGGCCAAAAAGAAAATGATTTGGCGTGAGAACCGATTCGTCCTTCGGGTCATCACCTTGATAACAGAGGGGCCGAGAATTTAGTAATCCCTCTGCATGAATAAAAACGGTCATCAATTCTTCATCATTTGCATCCGCATCGCCTAATACGCCCTTAATAGCTCTTTTAGCCGACTTTATAAGAGCCTCGAACACGCCTCCAAAATGGGGAGCCGCTGGGGGATTAAATCTCCACTCGATGCCCTTAGTAGCGAGGTCACTTCCAATCCTTGAATTGTCCAACTTAAACAAATTCCTAAGTTCTCGATTTGCTACCACAAAGTTAGTCCCATTGTCGCTCAAAACGAAATTCGGTTTTCCTCTCCTGCTAACGAAACGATCGAGAGCCAGCAAAAATGAATGACTATCGAGTCCCCAGGCCATTTCCAAATGAACTGCCCTAGACGACAAGCATGTAAACAAACATAGGTACCGTTTCGTTCTAACTTTACCCCGTCCCTGTTTTGTTACAAAAGGGCCTGTGAAATCAACACCAACTTCCGAAAATGCATGTGAGGGGGTACCTATTCGACACAAAGAAAGCGGTGCCATTAATTGCTTAGCCGGCTTACATTTTCTCCTTCGACACTCGGGACAATGATGCTCTAAGGATTTGATCACTTGTCTAACGCGCAAAATCCAATACTCTTCTCGAATTTTACTGATACAATGAGAAGTTCCTAAATCGTGGTTTCCTTCAACATGAATGTGCGTTGCAATTAATCGCGTCACATCGTCTTTTCGTGGTAGTATTACAGGAAATCTCGATTCATACGAAATGTGATCGGCTTGTCTCAAACGACCGTCCAAACGAAATACACCATCTTCATCGAGACAAGGATTGTGGACCCGCGACAAGGAACGACTTCTGAGCTGAACGAAGCTCCAATAAAGCATCTTCAGACGGATTAGAGCTTGTATCATTAGCGAGGGGCCAATTTTCCGACGACTGACTAAGAAATAAAGGTCCATGCCACTACAAGTCACACTTCGATAAAGCGGAAGCCGATAATCCCCATGTGGCTGGGTCGCTAGCATTCGATTTAGTGTCAACATAATGCCACTGAGAGGGTTCAGACATAGAATGAATTTCGCCAACCCGGTTTGACACAAACGGCTGGTATTTCCTCGATTCTCCCTTTATCCAAAACAGAACATTTTGGCTATCAGTCCAGTAAATAACTGTCGAACTGGAAACATTAAGCACCCGGCAGATAGTTTGTGCGAGTCTTAAACCTAATACTGCTCCCGATAGTTCTAGTTTGGGAATAGTGATTGATTATGGGGGGGCGACGCTAGTTTTAGAAGCCACCAAGTTCGACGAACAGGACTGATCGGCGTATTCACAATGAAGATAAACAGCTGCGGCATAAGCAGAGGAGGACGCGTCAACGAACGTGTGGATGGTCTTGCGGATAATCTCTTTATTACTGACTAGACATCTAGCAATACTGATTCCTTCGAGAAGCGCTAAACCAGTTATTCCATTGGCTTGATAGATCTAACGGCAGGGGTTCATCCCAACTAAGTCCTTTTACCCACGTTTCTTGAATTTCTATTTTAGCGCGAACCGTAAAAGGTGCAAATTAAGAGGGTCGAACAGTTTTGCAGTTTTACTAACGACAATCCGTTTTGTCAAAACGTCAATGAGAATTGGATCTATTTTGAAGATAAAACAGTCTGTCACTGCGTCCCATAAAACACCCAGGGTCTTAAGAGTAGGAAGACCAGAAGGATCAGCGATTTCCAAACTACCGATTCGATCATTGCTTGGAATTTCGGACAATACATCAACCGAATTCGATATCCATTTGCGAATGTGAAAACCTCCCAAAGCGAGTAATTCCGATACTTCACGCCTGAGGCGGGTTGCTTCTTTAACTGAATCCGCACTATCCAGTAAATCGTCTACATACATAGACTCCAGAATAGACGAAGCACCATTTGGATATTTCGAAGTATGCGACATTGCATGTTCTCTTAATACAAGTTGTGACAAATAAGGCGACGATGCATTCCCGAAAACGAGTCTTTGATATTCATAAATTCGAACTGACTGATGGGGATTTGTGTCTCTCCAAAGAAATCTATGATAAGGTTTATCGATAGGTTTCATCTCTATCTGCAAGAACATTTTACCGATATCAGCTGCAATCGCGATCGATTTACTCCTAAGTCTGACAAGGTTGTCTATTAATTCCCTTTGAAGTTTTGGGCCAGCATGTATGCAATCATTTAAAGATTTACCGTTAATCTTTGCTGCGGCGTCCAAAACAATCCTTACTTGCGTAGTTGTCTTATCAAGGCGTACGACAGGGAAGTGGGGAATATACCAAACATTTTTCTCGTAATAATCCGAGGGGAATACCTCTTTAATGTAACCCTTCTGTTCATAGTCGCGAATGATCCGACTATATTGTTATGAAACAAGGGGTCGGTTTGCCAAAGATCGCTCTAAATTTCGCAAACGAGAGAGCGCTAGATCGTAATTATTCAAGATAACTGGTTCATTCCGTTTCCAAGGTATTGCAATTTCGTAACGATCACCTGTAAATTTTAAAGATGATATAGATTGTTCTACAACTTGCTTGTCGATCGACGAAATAACAGCGGAATCGTTACTAATTCCCGATGTATCAAGTTCCCACATATTGCGCAATAAAGTGTTTGTATCATTTTGTACAAAGAATGTTCGAACAAAGTGATTCGATGATTGTCTACACGAGTCCAGTTTAAACAAGGGACCTATACATTTCCATCCCAACGGCGTAAGTCTTGCGATGGACTTTCCGGGTCTACCACTAATTTCGGTGAGTGAGCGATGTACATCAGATACATTAAGTCCTAATAATAAATCGACGTGGATTCTACCACCAACACGAGGAAAGTCAATATCATGCAATTGGGGCCAATTATGTACATATTTATTCCAGTCTATCATTTGCAAGCCATCGGTAACGTTTGCAACCGTAAAAGCGTCAAGTTTGAGACTAGTCTGTCCATCAAGACTAGTGATAGTGAAGCTAACTTTAGAACTTTTTAAACCATCGCGTTTACCACCCAACACAGCAACATTCAAATAGGAAACTGGCCCTTTAAGTCCCAATTCCGATGCAACAGATTCACTAACATAAGAGTCGGTTGAACACTCGTCCAACAGGGCCTTCAGCTGGAGCGTACGATGTCCGATGTTAATAACCGGGATTATGCGCATTCCCACGTGATCTCCAGAGGTGGCCATATTTGTTCGTGGCCATCGACGATTGGCTCCCGAATTGAGAAACGGTGGCACAACTGGATATCCCCCTCCGTGCAAAAGAGTATGATGAGACCGGGGACAATTGTCTATTCCACAGCGACGAGAGTTCTTGCAATCGCGCCCTTCGTGACTTGGACTTAGACATCGAAAACATAAAGACTTATCCTTTGCAACTTGCCATCTCCGGTCAACAGAAAGCGATCGAAAGTCTGGACAATCGAAGAGTCGGTGATTGTTAGTACACAAGTCGCATTTCGGCCGGCTGTTAGTTGTATATGCGCGATTCTTTTTGTAAGCGTTACCGGTACCACCTTGATTGAGACTGGTCTTAGGGGCGTAGAAACCGTCAACCTCTTCAAGGGCTTCAATCCTAAACTAAACCTCTAAAGCCAACCATGCGTGAAGATTAACAAGACTTTCAGTTTTCTTTTCTATAGAGACCCAACGCTTAAAGTTTGCGATGTTCATTGGCGATAATTTTGACTTCGCAACAGAATAAAACATTGAGTTTTCTTCGAATTCCTCGAAGCGACCAGCATCTTTCAGTGCAACGATCGAAAGTTCGAGCTTATCAGTAAATTCTTCAAGCATTTGTAAATCGGAAGAGTTAATAGGTCTCATTTGGCGAATATAGTCTAAATGTAGCAGAACAGTACGACGATGACCACCGTATTTTTCTTCGAGTCTTTTCTTAGCGGACGCGTAACCCAAAGACGACGCTGAAAAACCTTCAATAGCCCTTAAAGCATCACCCTGTAGGTACAGTCTAAGCTGAAGCATTTTGTAACCATCACTACACGCAACCCTATCGATGCAATGTTCAAACGCGTCCTTAAAAAGTGGATAGTCTCTTTTATTGCCACCAAATCTTGGAATAGAAACGCGTTTCAACTGATTATGCATATCGCTATCTATCGAATACGGCTCACGGGATCGAGCAGTTATAGAATTATTTTGACTCTTGAATATTATCTGGGGTGGGCTGCTCGTTTTCAGTCACAGAACTATTCTGAGGGAATTCTACATTTTCTCTAGGCGACGGATTATTCGACGATGATTGACGCGTTGTGTCTATCTCATTCGATTTTGACTTGATCAGAGCTAATGTACTAGATACAGTTTCTGTAAATCTTGGATCATCTTGTATCGCATCCAGTTCATCACCGTACCTATCTGGATCAAGCTCGCATAGCGACAACAAAACATTGATAACATCTTGTGTTTTCAAGACCTGGTCAACACCACTTTTCAATTGTTCTAAGTTCGCGGTTTCTGAACATAGTAAACTAGTTAAATAAGACTTAGCTTTAGTGAAAAAAGTTTTCAGCAAACGTTTTTGTTTTAATAATTCAGCTGGAGTTTCCTGTTGGTCACGATCGTGTATTTCTGCATCGATGATACCTGATCCATCACGTTCAGACATTCTATTGATTGTTGACTACTTGATAAAAAATTAAATAATTAATGAACCTGGTCTACGAAGATGACTGACCTTGGATGACATTCTGGCGATTTGGGGGTCATGCACGTGGAGCTCGATGTAAACAGCAACCATGGAGTTCAGTTGTACCATATTATCATTCAGATTTCATATTTTCCACACAGTAAAACCACGCTCTGCTACCAGATTTATGTTGGGAACGATGTATGAGTAATCCCGAAATGGATTCTCAGGCTGGGCCCATAAATAGCAGACTCATGGCTTCGAGTTACGATGGGTGAATAAAAGAACAAAAACGATGTTGATGGTACGAACTCTCTAGTGCATCTCACATCCTTTTTTTGGACTACATTTATATTATATTGCATGCTTGTATTACTACGCCAATAGACGTAATTAACCAGTCACTGCAACTCTGAAGGGAGTTTATTTCTAACACATTTATAATATAAAACATCACATATCTTGATATGGTGACATATTTATAATATAAAACATTACCTATCTTGACATGATGATATAACTATAATATAAAACATTATATATCTTCATGTGATGATATTACTATAATATAAAACATTACATATTTTCACATTATGAATAACTATTTTCTATGGTCCCCGCCAATATTTTTCATCTCTGCCGAATAGAAGCAGATAATGTCAGTATGATCAGATTTTGGGGTGGGGGGGGGTGACTGATCTGCAAAGTGTTCATTTCGTGTTTCACCCGAATTAGGCACATTTTCAATATCAGCGCTACAGACGTGGGTTCCAATCTGCCCATTCTGGAATGTATAACCCTGGTTTTGTTTAAAGGGTCAAGCTAGATTATATTTTGGAGAATAAAATTCCTTAATTTTGTGTTAGAAGCCCCGAAAATTCCCTAATTTAGGGTCGAAAAACTAACTCAATCTACGTGATGAGTTTTCAAACATCTTAAACCCGTCAGTCTTCATCTGGAAATGGAGACCGGTGTTATAAAATAACGTGTAATTGAAATTTACCTTTCGTTATGAAGTATGCACTATATGAAGTATGCACATTAAATAGACCTCTAATGAAACGGTAATAGATTATCAGGTCCCCCAACGAAAAATGTGACCCGAAATCTTAAGGGTTACGTGTCCAGATATGCGGTTTTGACTTCCAAACGATCCAATATTTTGAGCTAAAATTTTGAAACAGTAAATGCATAGGCCTACACTATTTCTCTATATTTTGGCGCTTAAATTTCATACGTACACGGACTTTTTTTTCTGAGATTGTTAAAATCGGGATGGTCCCTTTAATTAATGACTCGTTTCTCATTAGATGAACATATTCGACTGATGAAGGTACCGCCTGTCTAAATGATAGCATGATATTAAATGGTTATTATACAAGAGCTAAATTTGCCTTTTTCAGGTCGTGTTTTTTCTAGCTGCAAATATTAAACAAATTTTCATTTAGACATTTATTAACATGACAGGCTCGTAATCAACGCTTTAGATTATCGCATGGCTTAGATATTGAGTGAATTAGACATTGTACGCCATATCTGCGTTACACGATAATATGACCGGCGACATGGAGATTGAATGGACAATCCAAAATAGGAAATGTCAATCGAAAATCGCCGGACACAATTTATGGCTATATTTGTCAAATATTTGACGTGTTGGCTCCTCTCCAGAACAATACATGTAGAATAAAATAATTATTTAAGACTAAAAGCAAACCCCAAACATTTAAAAATGTATACACATATAATATATGCACTTGGCAGTTCAATTTTAACTCTATATTATTTTATGTTATTGTATTTTACAGGGGGTGGATGACTGAATGGTTAGTGCGTGTGCGTTGTATCATAAGGTCTGTTTTCGATTCCCCGGTTGTACGTGACAAGGAGTATGGTCACTTGTCTAACCTCGTGGGTTTTCTCCGGTTCCTCCCACTGCTAATGTCCCATACTCGCGCAAGCGAATTATTCAAATAAAATTGAAACATATGTTAGTCCCGAAATGACCTAATTTGTGGCGAGTGGATGTTAAACCCCATTTCTCCCTCTATTGTATTTTATAATACAAATGTTATAGTACAGCAAATCCCCCGCACACACACACTTCCATCGAAAGGCGGGGAACAATAAAACTTACCGCTGTCTATCCAATACTGAAACCCATCGCCGTACACCAGCGGCTGTGTAGAATATATTCTATCTGGTATAGTTATACAAGCCCTGGTAACGCGATGATAGAAAAACGACCGATGTCCTCTACCTTGTGTGATATGGGCACATTCTAATTTACAACTGGTATAAAACACCGAACTTTGATCAGGTATAACGTAGTTGGATATAAATAAAATAAAGTTAAACTCTTTAAAAACTATCTTCTTCGTGTGTCAAATAATTATAATTCTATCCAAATGTTTTAAACACGCCTTGTATGTATACATACAAATCAAGATGAATGGACTGTCAACACCTGGTCTACTCCAATCTGGAAGCTTGCATCCAGAATGTAAAATCGTGGATGGGCAAAAACAAGTTTTAATACTGAAATCCTACTTGTAGATCCAGCTTGCAGACTACACAGTAACTATGGCATATATATGATTCGCTAGATGACGACTAATCTGTCAGTGGAACCTCATTATTAGTTACAATCTTAAGAATAACGAATCAAAACGCCAGAGACGTGTCAACATTGTTCATTGTTTTCTGGCTTGAATAGTGTAACACTTGAATAACAAATGAACCAATTAAAAAGTTTTACAAAGAATTCAAAATCATGCAGCTAGAATCTTCTGTAAAATTACACCGCGTGATCGCATTTCTCCAGTAAAGACTTATTGTATTGGCTTCGGATTAAATTAGAATTAATGTGTTTGGCATACCACGCAGTGAATGGAGCGGCACCTTCATACGAGAGCTGACTGAAAAGTTCTAGCCCTATCTGTAAAAGACTGTACAATGTAGCTGGTGGTTTCAATTTATATTTTTACATAGTCCCCTTTGAGGTGTACACACTTTTGCGAACGATGTTGCAAGGCCTGGATGCTGGTCAGGAAGAGATTTTGTTCGGCCACCCTAAAAAAAAGTCGTTCACAGCTGATATGACGTCATCATTACTCGGAAAATGACGACCGGTTAGTTGATTTTTCATATTTGAAAACAGCTAGGTCTCATCCATGGTTACAAATCCGGCCAAAAATTATAGCGATCTGCTTCAAAACAGCAAAGATTGTTATTGTGGAGCAGGAAGAAGAATCGTTCCCTTCAATTGGAGACCATGTTGATATGTATCTGTGTTGGGGTTAGTCCTTTCAGTTGCAGGTACTTGATGACTGCCTTATATAGGCAGTTTTGGCCATTGCTTGTGATTTCAATGGGTAGGTCCACGAGAGAGTCTGGTAGGAAGACAACAATTACCCTGCAGTTGCTGTTCTTGTGTCTATGATTCATTCAATGATTGTACTTGTTGGTGGCAAAAGTTTGTTTCAACCCCATTGATCTATCCTTTTCAGACTTAGAACTTTTCAGTCCGTCTTCGTAACTTTCATTTGTGCGGATAAATAAAACGACGTCCTACTTTATACAGCAACCGGACTTTACAGTTTAGTAAAAGGTTCTACGAAATTTGAAAACAAGATCCGTCAAAAAATGAAGCCCATATCGCGCTCATGAACCAATATTGACGGACCGACTTACAGGTAACCGTTTATTTATCAAATGTAAACACATTTAATCACATCCCCGGTCATACTGCACGCAGCGACCCATCTACGTCATACTTCCCAGAATGTGACACTGCACTGATTATCCGCCATTTAAAACGCTCATGTGATCATTTCGGGGCGGGACTTATCGACTCGAGACCGCTTTGTTTAGACAACAGAGTAAAAATAACCCACGCACGTGTGTTTTATGTAAACACGGCATGTCGCTGACACTCGCGTAAAAGCGATATATAATATGTGCTATGGGTAATATTGCAATAAATTCTTTACCATTGTAAACTGTCTTTAGAGTTTCAATCTGTTTATCTTTCAAAACAAGGTTAGATACTCCTAAATTTGTTTTCGCAAATAAAACCGCCTCTGTGAAATTATGTTTCATGGGCGCTGCCATATTAAATAATTAGAGGACTATTTTGTGATTCGGCTTTGATTAGTTTGACATTTTTCATACACACAGCGGCTAAATAAACATATTTAATTTCATTCAATATGACAATAGAAGAGAAATAAATACTTTTAAAAATTTCTAAAAGCATACTCAGTGTTTTCGACTTAAATCGTCGATGTAGGAATTTAAATGTCGGTTAATTAGCTTAGGGCCTATTCTAGCTGTAGATAGGCAGCCTAAGTTTGGGATGATCCCCGGTGTCCCCAGTGGTCTCATTCCGTTCTACTTCGCTAACCCTGAATTAATCCATAATCCACGATTTCAAATTATCTGCCCTGGCCTTGAATATAGCTAAAGCCTTACGAACCAATGAAAAAACAGTTTACAAACCAGTCTTACTAATGAAACTGCCTTCGTTTTTTTTTATAAGGGTAGATAACCATATTCATGTCCAGTTAGTGAATGCTTTGTGTAAATAATGTATATATTTCTAATTTATTTATATTTAATTGTATTATCAAAATCTGAAGAATTTTTGGTTGATTTCAAATATGTGTTACATCTATATGTTTGACTTGTTTTATTATTATTACTATTCGTTCTTTGTCTGAAATGTTTCATTCTGTTATGTTTATTATTATCGAACTTATACTTGGAAATTTGATTCTCAATAAAGCTCTTGATCCTATATATACATAAACACCTGTCCGGTCTTCATTGATATATTATATAATAATTGTAATTTGTTGTTCATAAATATGCAATTGGTATAATTTATTTCTCTCATTTAGACTACCTTCTGACCAATTCCTAACCTTGTCTCATAGAGGGGAGTCTTTGCGTTTTACTTACTTAACCCGATGGAAGTTTGCCAACTTCCTTTGCAATTAACCATTTATGTGATTGGTCGATGAAATGACAATCATCAAGGGAAGATAACTTGAAAACTTGCCCCCCCCCCCCATAGATTAACCCAGGGGTTAGTGTGTAACACTAATCTGTGTCTCGGTACCAAATAAAAATACATGTGGCACTACGGGACACTAGGTATTTCTTCGACTTCATGTCGTGGGATCAAGTATTTTAATCATCGATTAACTGACTCTGGAACACTGTTTATGTTGTTACTAAGTTTATATTTAAATACAGGAAACTACAAAGTTAAATACAGGAAAACTACAACATCTATTATAGAAACTTTAG